CCACCCAGTACAGCGCTTCGCAGCCCCATAGGGAGCTCCACCGAAGAATATATTCACAATTGCGGCACCCACAACTGCATATGGTCGGGTCCTTCGCCAGGATAATTTGCCAGAGTTTCACGGATTGAGCGCGGGTCGTTTTCAAAATGTGGCTCTCGCCGTGGCGCGGCGCACATTCGTTTTCCAAATTTGCCAGAGTTTCACGGATTGAGCGCGGGTCGTTTTCAAAATGTGGCTCTCGCCGTGGCGCGGCGCACATTCGTTTTCAAAATTTGCCAGAATTTCACTGATTGAGCGCGGGTCGGTTTCAAAATGTGGCTCTCGCCGTGGCGCGGCGCAGATTCGTTCAAAAATTTGGAAGAGCTTCACGGATTGAGGGTGGTTCCTTTTCAAAATGTTGCTCTCGCCATGGCGCCGCGCACATTCGTTTTAAAAGTTTACAAGAGGTTCATGGGTTCCCCTCATCAACGCACCAACACATGATCGATCCACGAACCCGGAAAGGAATATAGAACTGTAACACATGGCAGCGTTTTCAAAGACACCTGATTGGGTGACGGGCAAATGCAATGCTGAGTGTATCGATCTTGATGTACCCTGCCAAGGGCTGTGCTGTGCTGCGCCGTGCTGAATTGCGATGTGCCATGGCGCGACTGCGCTCTATAGCGTCGTGGATCGAGTCCTCCTTTGCATCCGAGTCCTGACCGAACTGATCTGGATCTTAAGCTCGAGCTGCCTGAACACATAGTAGCTGCCCCAGAGCTAATGGACAGGGGAACATGCCAGGAGGACGCGCCGCGAAACGTCCCAAGGGATGCGCCAGGCGACGTGCCAGGGGACGCGCCATGGGGTCGCACCGTAGGACGTGCCAAAGGGACGCGCTACGGAACGTGCCAATGGATGTGCCACGGAATGTGCCAGGGGACGCGCCACGCGACGTGCCAGGGGGACTCGCCAAGGGACGCCCCACGGAACGTGCCAAGGAACGTGCCAAGTTGCAATGCTGAGTGTATCGATCTTGATGTACCCTGCCGAGGGCTGTGCTGTGCTGCGCCGTGCTGAATTGCGATGTGCCATGCCGCGGTTGTGCTCTATAGCGTCGTGGATCGAGTCCTCCTTTGCATCCGAGTCCTGACCGAACTGATCTGGATCTTAAGCTCGAGCTGCCTGAACACATAGTAGCTGCCCCAGAGCTAATTGACAAGGGGAACATGCCAGGAGGACGCGCCGCGAAACGTCCCAAGGGATGCGCCAGGCGACGTGCCAGGGGACGTGCCATGGGGTCGCAACGCGGGACGTGCCAAGGGGACGCGCTACTGAACGTGCTGGGGACAAGCGTTTCGCTCGAGACATCCTATCACAATCATCCGAATTCCTACGCGCGGGACGCGGCACGCGCGAGACATCCTCGGAATTCCTGCGAGCGGGACACGAAAACAAACATTGCGCCTGAGATATCCTCTGAATTCTGGCCCCCCACGAGGCCCCCGCTCGAGACATCCCCCAATTTTGCAAAACCAGCGTTTCGCTCGAGACATCCTCAACAAATTATGAAAAACAAGCGTTTCGCTTGAGAAATCCTGTCAAAACCCAAAGAAATCAAAATTCCTGCGTGCGGGACGCGGCACGCGCGAGACATCCTCGGAATTCCTGCGCGAGGAGCGCTTTTCCGTGTCGCGGTCGGCTCTGCAAAACCAGCGTTTCGCTCGAGACATCCTCAACAAATTCTGAAACCAAGCGTTTCGCTCGAGACATCCCCAACTCTGCAAAACCAGCGTTTCGCTCGAGACATCCTCAACAAATTCTGAAAAACAAGCGTTTCGCTCGAGACATCCTCAAAAATAATGTCGCCGGCCCTACTCCGTGCGTGCCCGCTCGCAAAATAATTTCGCCGGCCCAAGTCGCAGGGGGGCCGGGGGGTTAACCAACTAAAACAAAACCCTGGGCCCACGCCCTTTCCGGGAAAAATTAGCCTGGCGAAGAACCCAACCATATGCAGTCGTGGGTCCCGCCATTGTGAGTATCTTCTTCGGCGGCACACCTTATGGGGCCACGAAACGTGTGAGGGGTGTGCCGAAATGGGTGTAGGGGACACATGCGGGCGGCAGCACTGGGGCCTTCGGTGGAGCTCCCTAGTGGGGCCACGAAACGTGTGAGGGGTGTGCCGAAATGAGTGTAGGGGACGCATGCGGGCGGCAGCTCTGGTGCCTTCGGTGGAGCTCCCTATGGGGCCTCGAAGCGTGCGAAGGGTGTGCCGAAATTGATGTAGGGGACGCATGCGGGCGGCAGCACTGGGGCCTTCGGTGGAGCTCCCTATGGGGCCATGAAACGTGTAAGGGGGTGTGCCGAAATGGGTGTACGGGGCGCATGCGGGCGGCAGCACTGGGGCCTTCGGTGGAGCTCCCTATGGAGCCACGAAACGTGTGAGGGGTGTGCCGCAATGGGTGTAGGGGACGCATGCGGGCGGCAGCACTGACGCCTTCGGTGGAGCTCCCTATGGGGCCACGAAACGTGTGAGGGGTGTGCCGAAATGAGTGTAGGGGACGCATGCGGGCGGCAGCCCTGGGGCCTTCGGTGGAGCTCCCTATGAGGCCACGAAACGTGTGAGGGGTGTGCCGAAATGGGTGTGGGGACGCATGCGGGCGGCAACCCTGGGGCCTTCGGTGGAGCTCCCTATGGGGCCACGAAACGTGTGAGGGGTGTGCCGAAATGGGTGTAGGGGACGCATGCGGGCGGCAGCCCTGGGGCCTTCGGTGGAGCTCCCTATGGGGCCACGAAACGTGTGAGGGGTGTGCCGAAATGGGTGTAGGGGACGCATGCGGGCGGCAGCACTGGGGCCTTCGGTGGAGCTCCCTATGGGGCCACGAAACGTGTGAGGGGTGTGCCGAAATGGGTGTACGGGACGCATGCGGGCGGCAGCACTGGGGCCTTCGGTGGAGCTCCCTATGGAGCCACGAAACGTGTGAGGGGTGTGCCGAAATGGGTGTAGGGGACGCATGCGGGCGGCAACCCTGGGGCCTTCGGTGGAGCTCCCCCATGGGGCCACGAAACGTGTGAGGGGTGTGCCGAAATGGGTGATGGCGATGACGATGATGATGATGATGATGATGATGATGATGATGATGATGATGATGATGATGATGATGATGATGATGATGATGATGATGATGATGATGATGATGATGATGATGATGATGATGATGATGATGATGATGGGGGGAGGAGGCGGAGGAGGAGGGAGGAGGAAGGAGAGGAACGCGGGGCACCGTCTCTTCAAAACGAGGACCCAACACCACAGGATGGTTGGGAAAAAACGTTTTGGAAGGATTCAGGATATGCGGCTGCAGTTACATTGATTCTCTATGTTGAAATTCTAGGAATGGCGTTCTGGCGCGATTCGAGATCGTCAAGACGCAACACTCAGGTTGATCCGTGGCGTTGGACTTCCGAGAACCGTGTTTTGGCTTGCTTCAGGGTCTTCAAACTGGTGTCTTCCAACGAGGCAGTTCCATCAATGGAAATCAACCGTTGTATGGGCCTATGAAGAGGAAGCTTGGAGGGAGGGTTTACTCCAATATCGTTGATGACTATTGGGTTTACACTGGTCCTCCTCCTCCTCCTCCTCCTCCTCCTCCTCCTCCTCCTCCTCCTCCTCCTCCTCCTCCTCCTCCTCCTCCTCCTCCTCCCCCTGCGCGCGACTGACCTCTGGGCACCCTGGCGCGGCAGTGCCGACGGCGTGGGCCCTCCGAGGCCCACCCCTGGCCCCGAGAGCCAGCGCGCCGTGGCGAGGAGAGCGCCCTGCTGCGGGCCCATGGGCACCTTGGCGTCGCGATGATGATTTTGCCGGCCGGTATGTTCAAAGACTCCTGGGCTCGTCGAAGAGAAGGGCTGGAGAAGAGGAGGCGGGGGGGCGCATCATGGACCGAATCATGTGCGCGGACGAGGGGGGAGGGGGGGGCAGGGGGCGCGTCGAAAGAAGAGCAAGGGGGCCATGGCATCTGGGAGATGCCATTGCCCCGGCCGTGGTATCCGCTCCCCCGTCCTCGTCCCCCTTCTGGACGCCCCCATCCGAGACCTGGGCCTCTGGATGCCCGTTCTGGGGCCGGGGGGCGATGGGAAATCGACCCAGGGTTGGAAACTCCCTGGGGCGGCCGAGAGGTCCAGGATGGAGACGCCACGAAAAGGCTGTGACGTCGGATGCCTGGGCAGGTCGCCCGCGCCAGGGAGCGCGGCTACCCTGGGGCATCTCGCGCTGGTCCCGAAGCGCCAAGCGCGGTTGCCTTCGCTCCCCTGCCAGGAGAGGCAGAAACGAGGGGGGCCTTGGTCGGCCGCTGCCGTGGTCCGCCACCTGGGCTCCCCTCGGCCATCCGCGCGCACAAGCGAGAGGGTGGGGCGAAGGATGGCTTGATGGATGGCACGCTCCTCGGAGCGGTAATCGAAAATGTTTCAATCCACCGGCGCCAGGCGGTCCAAGACAGTCAGGCGCCAGTCAGCAAGCAGTGGGGAGCACCGAAGGCGAATTGAGGCACGAAAGCGAAAAAGAGCGCGAGAGCCAAGAAGAAGCCTGCTCAGACCATGTAAGGCGGCGCGGGGATGCCGAAGGAGAACGCATACGAGCTGCGTACAAGCAGCGGAAAGTGGAAGCGAAATGAAAATCCAGAAACGTCGGTCTGTCCATGTCTGTTCCAGCCGCCCGCGGCGAGGAGAAGCTGAAGACGACTGCGCCCGAAGGGCCCGACGGAGCAAACGAAATCAAGCACGAGGGCGCCACACACACGCACGCACACAGCGTAGGGGAAGCCAGGACTGAGTGTTGGGGGCGGCGGGGATGGCAAGCGGGACACAGGAGACCGAAGCCTTGCACTGAAAGTCCCATAGCGCACGCACCAGAGTCCAATGTTGGCGAAAGCAAATTCTGGTTGCACGCGAGTGATGGCGCAGACACAGCAACGACATGAGGCATTGAGCCGAAGAAGAAAGAGCAACCGGAAATGAGCTATTTTCCCGTTACCGTGCCACTCGCCATCGCCCCTGCCCCGAGAGCGCGGTGGACCGACCCAAGGCATCTCTCAGTCCACTGCTTCGTCGTCGTCGCAGTCGTCCTGTGCCGAGGCATGGACAAGGCGCGAGTGATGATGACAACGATGACAGATCCCTGACGGGTCTCACAAACCACCACACCACCAAAACCGCGGTCGCTGCTGCAGTGGCGCCTCTTGCGGCAATGGCAACAGTAGCAGATGCGATAGCGGCACTTGTAGTTTTGCCGCATGCCATTGGGTCAACAACGGCAACAGTGCCAACAGCAGTAGTGACGATACATAGTGCTCAGCATGGATGCGAAAGCCACAACCACAACGGCTCGCCTGGGAAACAGCGGCGCGTACTGAGCTCGCCAAGAAACGCGATCCACATATATCTGAATATACCTATATAGATGTCCTACACTCATACATACATTATGTATACATATACGTGTGTGCAGAGCATGTGTAGAAATGTATACACGTGCATATACAAGCATACATACATACATACATACATACATACATACATACATACATACATACATACATACATGCATGCATGCATACATACATATATACTTACTTACATACATACGTACATACATACACAAACACATGCATGCATGCATGCATGCATGCATGCATGCATATACATACATATACATACATACATGCATGCATATCCGCCGGCCCCCTTGTGGGGCCACCAGGCTGTAGGCGCGGGTTCGCAGTTTCCAGTATCAATTGTAGTTTGTAGTTTCCAGTGTTACAGTTCTGCTTCTTGCTGGTTACTGTAACTAATTGACTGACCGCGCGAGGGGGGGGAGGCCAAAACGGGACTTTTAGCACCCCCTGGGCGCGTTGTCTGAATTGCTGGGGGGGCTCGAAATCCACACCCCTCACGCAGATCCGCGGGGTCAGGGTCCAAAAACACAAGTGATGTGCCACATTTCTGAAATTCGGTGCCACCCCTCACGCAGATCCGCGGGGTCAGGGTCCAAAAACACAGGGATTTGCCACATTTCTGAAATTCGGTGCCACCCCTCACGCAGATCCGCGGGGTCAGGGTCCAAAAACAAAAGGGATTTGCCACATTTCTGAAATTCGGTGCCACCCCTCACGCAGATCCGCGGGGTCAGGGTCCAAAAACACATGGGATTTGCCACATTTCTGAAATTCGGTGCCACCCCTCACGCAGATCCGCGGGGTCAGGGTCCAAAAACACATGGGATTTGCCACATTTCTGAAATTCGGTGCCACCCCTCACGCAGATCCGCGGGGTCAGGGTCCAAAAACACATGGGATTTGCCACATTTCTGAAATTCGGTGCCACCCCTCACGCAGATCCGCGGGGTCAGGGTCCAAAAACACATGGGATTTGCCACATTTCTGAAATTCGGTGCCACCCCTCACGCAGATCCGCGGGGTCAGGGTCCAAAAACACATGGGATTTGCCACATTTCTGAAATTCGGTGCCACCCCTCACGCAGATCCGCGGGGTCAGGGTCCAAAAACACATGGGATTTGCCACATTTCTGAAATTCGGTGCCACCCCTCACGCAGATCCGCGGGGTCAGGGTCCAAAAACACATGGGATTTGCCACATTTCTGAAATTCGGTGCCACCCCTCACGCACATCCATCGCAAGGCGTGGTAACCCAAACTGCGAGTACTCCCTCGGCCCTTGAATCCCAAGGTGTGGTAACCAAGCTCGTAAACCATACACGTCTTACCAATCGCCCTGTGTGGTAACCCCTCTTGTGATCAGTTGGTTTTGCCGATTGCGAATCGGCCTCGCATGAAGTTCCGATACTGCTGCACGACAGCGCCAAAGCCTCATGACTTAGCTCTTCCATGGCCCATTATCCGAGAGAGGGGGCCGGCGGCAGGGGGCGAAGCCCTTACGAATATACATACATACATACATACATACATGCATACATACATACATACATACATACATACATACATACTTACATACGTACATACATACATACATACATACATACATGCATACATACATACATACATACATACATGCATGCATGCATGCCTACATACATACATACATACATACATACATACATACCTACCTACCTACCTACATACATACATACATACATACATACATACATACGTACATCCATCCATCCATGCATGCATGCATGCATGCATGCATGCATGCATACATGCATGCATACATGCATACATACATACATACATACATACATACATACATACATACATACATACATACATACATACATATGTACATACATACACACATACATATGTATATACTTACATACATACATACATACATACATACATACATACATACATACATACATACATAGTGGCTTCGTTTCTCGTTGTGAGAAAGCTGGGAACACCCCGAACTCGCGCTCCCTGGCCCTCCGCAAGTTCTATGATCTCCCCCCCCCAGAGCCCGTCCGCATCGATTCTCTCGAGCAGCCGTGCGGCTCCCTCGAAATTTCCCTGGACGCCTCCTTTCGTGCCTCTGAACGCCTCCTTTCGTGCCCCAGGGCCTCCGTCGAGACTTGCGCGAGGAAAACGCCACCACATGACACTTACACAGCACACCAAAGTGCCAAGCCACATGCAAACCGCCTGATCCCCTGAACCCAAAACAACTGCTCAAAGTAGACCGTGATGAAGCGAGCAAGGCGCCGGTAAGTCGAGAATTCGGTTGAGCGAAGGTGTCCAGAATCCCAGGCGTCGCGCTTTTGTTTGCGAAAGAAACACTACGGCTCTCGACCCCGCCCCTGGGACCGGATGTTCGTCGCGGGCCGCACTTTGCTGGCCCCTGGGCCCGAAACTATCCCCGAGCACCAAAAACGCGGAAAAACGCCAGCCGCCCCATTCTTATTTGCGAAGCCTTGAGGCCTGGCGAAATTGGGCCGTCGGAAGATGGAGTGCGCCGAAGAGGGAGGACGGGAAGAGGGAGGGGGGTGCGCATCAGGGCCCGGCCAGAGAGCGTGCTGAACAAGGAGACCACAACATCTGGGAAATCTCGTGGCCCCCGCCACGATTTCCCTCCCAGTCCTCACCCCACCCCCCTTTGTGGACGCCCCCAAGGCAGTTTTTGGTGTGTGGCGACTCGGGTCCAGCAAGCGGACAAGCAAACGGCGGGACGCATCCGTTGCGAATTGAGGCACAATGGCAAAGGCGGGGCGATGGGCGAGGAGAAAGGCCGCGGGACGGCCGGAGAACCCTCAGATCGTGCAGACCTTCAGGAATTTGCCTGGGAGCAGACTCAGTCACGACACAGCCAGTGCTAACGAACAGACCAGGGACATAGACGACGCAATCGAGTGGCCCATGGTAAAGCCAGGAAGTACCGATACCGCTATTCCCTGGACTTCTCCAGGGGTGCGTTCTGAGCAGAACTTCGAAGCGAACCCAGCGGTGGCGACGAGGGCCTCCCAGGAGGGCCAAGCAGGCGAAAACGAGGCAATGGCAGCGGTATCGGTACCTTATCCTCATCTGATGGGGGCGCCCAAAATTGGCACGGACAAAATGGGCACGATGCTCAACAACAGACGCTGTCCAACACCGACGGCGGACGCTGGTGGGCAGACGGCCTTCTGTCTCAAATGGACGTCCCCGGCGACACCGACAGCGGGTCCTCTTCCAAATGAACGCGACATGCGGTCGGCCTCTGCACACATGATTTGTCAATATAGCGCCCGATATACCGAGTTATGTGTACGCTGTCTCGTGTATTAGCACAGCTCAGCAGCTTCAGCACAGCATGATGTGTTGCAAGCAGTTGTTTCACATGTCTGTCACATTGCCATGTGATGTTCAGGGGCCCCCGAGTCAAGTCCGCCGATCCGGCGTGTGCGTTTCTGAGAGCGTGGACTTGAGTTCGCTCAAGCTTCGCTCTGCAGGGGGGGGGGGGCACGTTATTTCCGACGTCATTTCTCCACGGGGACAGGGGGGTATAGAAAACTCCAATTCCGGAGCCCCGACAGCTCGCCTGGGAGCGCCTGGGAGCATGCCGGGAACGCCTGGGAGCGCCTGGGATCGCCTGCGAGCGCCTGGGAACGCCTGGGAACGCCTGGGAGCGTGCCAGGAGCGTGCCGGGAGCGCCTGGGAACGTGCCGGGAGCGCCTGGGAGCGTGCCGGGAGCGCTTGGGAGCGTGCCGGGAGCGCTTGGGAGCGTGCCGGGAGCGCCTGGGAGCGCCTGGGAGCGCTTGGGAGCGCCTGGGAGCGCCTGGGAGCGCCTGAGAGCGCCTGGGAGCGCCTGGGAGCGCCTGGTAGCGTGCCGGAAGCGCCTGGGAGCGTGCCGGGAGCGTGCCGGGAGCGCCTGGGAGCGCCTGGAAGCGCCTGGGAGCGCCTGACGGCCCAGGAGCGCCACAAAACGACCCAAGTCCAGAGCCCAGTTCGCTCTGCAGGGGGGGCCCACATTATTTCCGATGTCATTTCCGACTTTTTTCGGTGCACGGGGACGGGGGTATAGAAAACTCCAATTCCGGAGCCCCGACAGCCCAAGACAGCCCAAGAGGAAGCCAAGAGAGGCCCAAGAGGCCCCCTAGACAATGCGAGAGGGCCCCGAATCGCCGAAACATCGCTCGAACCGCCCACGATGCCCCGAAGACAATTCCAGAAACCTCCACGACGACCCCAGGATCCCTCCCGACACTCCCCCAGAATGCCCAAAGACTGACAAATAGACCCATCCCCTGGGGAAAACGAAAGTGAAGAAAGCTGTGCTCGACACGTACGGAGCCGAAGCTATGCCCGACAAGCGTGACGTGAAATGAGTGGAGAAGATGCTGGTCGGTCAGAGCTTGAAGGACGACGTGAACTACACGAACGATTACGAGTGGGAGCGACGCCTGGGCTACTAAGACTCGTACCTGGAGGAGGAAGAGTATGAGGACGACGAAGAGTACGACTACGAGGAGCACGAGGAGGCCGACGTTGCGGACGAGCTGTCGCAGGAGGTCGATGAGGCCCAAGTGGCGTGCTACGAGGCCTACCTCAGCTTCGTGGATGCGAAGAAGCGTGTGGCGGAGATCGCCAAACCCAGAGGTTTCTACCCGATCGTCGCCCTCGCACCCGAGAACAACTACCAGCGCGACGGCCGCGCAGGACCCACGAGAGCGACGAGATCAGGCACTGGCAAAGGCAAAGGACGTGGCAAAGGTAAAGGACGCGGCAAAAGGTTTGGCCCACCACGTCGAGAAGCTTTCTGGCCCCAGAAGGGAGCGTTTGGAAAGGGTGCGCCATCATCATCAGCGGGGTCGACTGCATCGGGTGCGACCCAGCAGCACGGCTCGTCATGCACGGGGGCTTCACCAAGCCCGACGACGAGGCACGCGTGGTGGAGGATGTTGAGACGCTGGAGCATACCAACTCAACCGAGAAAATCTTCCTGCTGACCATAGGCAACGATATCAGCGATGGAGGCGCCACGCGGCCCGCCATGGGCGACAAGGCGTGGGCGCAGTGGGAGGAGCTCCTTCGTTTCAGGCAATTGCTACACGAGGTCGAGTACAGCAAGAGTGATACACGCTTCCGATTCGGAGACGGTAAGAGTCTGGAGGCTAAGCAAGCGGTGACTCTGACTGCGTGGCCGTTCGGCGTCAAGTAGCAGATCACGATCCATATCGTCGAAGGTTGGAAGCCGCTGCTGATCGCGCGGCCCTGCATGGAAGAGTGAGCCTTGATCCAGGACTACCGAGCTGGAACGTTCACGATGAAGGATCTCCCCGACAAGAGCTGGATGAAGTCCGAGCGCGACGAGCAGGGCCATTTCATGATCGACCTGTTGGGTGGAACTGGTCGCGACGCCGACGATGTCATGAACGACGGAGCCCCCATCGATGGCGACGACCGCAGCAGCGACTCGACGGACAAAAACATTAAAGGAGATTCGGTCAAGGGCGACGACGGCGACGACGGGGACTCGTCGGCGCCTGACCCCGACGCCTTTTACCTTCAGACGCGGACGGAGTTCTACGAGATCGGCAGCGACGACGAGACCCTGACCACGGAAGAGGTCATGGGCCCGGAGCGCCACCTGATGGACGCGGACACCCACTCGGACCTGGTCCTGGCGCTGGAGCAGCCGGCGTCCGACATGAAGGACACGCTGCGCGGGCCGCGCAAGCGGCTGGTCTGAGAGGTCTTCGTGGAGCAGGGGGCTTTGTCGCAGGAACTGCTCGTTTCCGCAGATCGAGGTGATCCAATTCAAGATCGAGGACGGTTGGGACTTCTCCAAGCGCGCCGTGATCCGCGACTTCCTGAACAAGATCGACAACGACAAGCCCGACGATATCTTCTTCGCTCCCCCGTGCAAGCACTGGTGCTCCTGGCAACACGTGAACGAGAAGATCTCTGAGGAGCGCGCCAAGGACATCAATGTTGCCAGAGAGCAAGAACAGCGGACGCTTCTCAACATGATTATGACGGCGTGTGTGAAGCAGCAGAACGGAAACCGACACGCGCACGTAGAAGGCCCGTGGCAGGGGCTACACTGGCGGACGAAGACATGGAAGAAGTTGCCAGGATATCACTGCAGGCTCGATCAGTGCAGGTTCGCAGCAACGTACACGATCCATGGCAAAGACATGCCATACCAGAAACCCACGAGACTGCAGCATCGACCAACAAGGAGTTCATTCAGCACATGACCCTGGCACGCGCGTGCGCGGACGACCAAGTGATCCTGCGGGGCAAGCTCGCCCAGCAAGCTCGGAACTACCCGAGACCGATGGCGAGGGGGATGGCCTACCTGATCGCCGACCAGGGCATGGCCGACGACATCAGCGACATCAACACGGCCGAGGAGGTCTAAAAGGACATCGACGCCATCGAGTACACCGACATGAAGCAGGAGTTGATGAGGCAGTTCAACGCGTCGACGATCCGAGCAGTCAAGCGTGCACATGTCAGCCTGGGCCACCCTTCGAACGCAGCGCGGGCGGTCGCCATGCAGCATGCGGGTGCTCCAGCAGAGTGGATCCAGTGCGCCAGGCTCTTCCAGTGCGAGATCTGCCTAGGCAGGCAGAGGCCCCGAGCGGTTCGCGTCGCAGTCCTGCCGAGGGCCAAGAGGTTCAACGAGGTGGTCTGCACCGACGTGCACTGCATCACCTGGAAGAAGAAGGCGAGGAAGATCCTGGCCAGTATAGACGAGTTTACACGCTACGAGGTCGACTACCAGATCTCGAAAGAGACGTTCCTGAATGAGACGAAACTATGGGAGAAGCTCTGGATCAGCCGGGCCGGCAAGCCTGAGCCGATGCGCATGGACATGGGCGGCTCTCACACGGCCAAGCGCACGCGCGACTGGATGAGCAAGCACGGCATCAAGCTCGATCTGACCCCGAAAGGTGCGCACCACAGGTTAGGCCCGATGGAGCGGAGCCACGCGGTCAGCTCAGCAAGTACCATCTGCAGTTACCCGACGACTCGCTCAAGACCGCCCTCAGGATGACCGCCAGCCAGCGGAACACCCTGAGGAACGCGCACGGGTTCTCGCCCGCGGCGGTGGCGTTGGGGACGCAGCCCAAGATCCCAGGCGCCCTCTGCGACCGCGCTGGTCGACCCCAAGAGCGAGGTGCCCGAGATGATGATCTGGAGAACGACCGCCGCGACGGCCCTCATCGAGGCCAAGTGCTCGCGCGCCGCGCGATCGGCGCTGCTGGCGCACAGCAGGCCAGCGAGGAGGAACTACGAGGTCGGCGAGTGGGTCTACTTCTGGCTATCCGAGCATACGCAGGGGATGGAGAAGTGCCATTGGTACGGCCCAGCTCTGGCGGTAGCAGTGGAGGCGAAAATCAACGAGGACAACGCGATGCACACCTCGGCGACGCACGGACGCGCGATCTACCCTTGCAGCTTGGAGCAGCTTCGCCCCGAGCTGCCAGGCGAGGCCCGCGAACGAGAAGGACGCAGCGAGGACCCCGACAGCCCGCTCAGCACGATCGAGAAGTTCAGGCGCGTGCTCAGGCGGACGAAGGGAACCTGCAACTACCGAGACCTCGCCGAGGAGGGGCGCTTGCCACAGTACGACGACAACATGGACGACATGGGCGAGCAGCAGCAGCCAAGCGCCCAGGCACCCATGGAGGTGGACGAGACCGACGGCCCGACAGGTGCAGCTGCCGCGGCGGCCCCTGGAGATCCTCACCCGACGACGGCCCTGCAGCGGCCAGCGCCGGCGCGTCTGGCAGCGCTGCGCGGGGGCCTAGCAGGTTCCACATCGAGGCGATGGCATGTCGAGGAGGCTGAGAAGCTGGACGGCATCCCGCTGGCCAAAGCCCTCGCCTGTCACGGGCGAAGCTCGCCCCGCAGAGCGAGGAGGCTGCGCTCGCCGACGAGGTGAACGACGAGATGCTGCTGTTGGAGGAGTCCACAGAGACGGTCTACATGCTGGCCTTAAGAGGAAAGCCCCCACCATCGTGGAGGGCAGGTTGACGCCCGAGGAGAAGGACCAGTTCTACGCGGCGAAGCTGGAGGCCCTCGAGGCTTTCAATCGCAATGACGGCTGGGAGCCCATCAACGAGGCGGATGGGAATCCCTGAGACTGCTCCCCCTACGCTTCCTACTCAAATGGAAAATGAAGGATGGGCAGAAGGTGGCCAACGCGCGCGTACTCTACCAAGGGTTCAAGCACCGCGACGTCGCCGAGGGCCAGCTCGACAGGTAGGCGTCGACCCTCAGACGGTCATGCTGTGGGCGTCTCTAAGGAAGTGGAGGCTGTTCAGCGCGGATGTGAAGTCCGCATTCCTGCAGGCTGAGGACGCGGGCGCACGCGGCCTCAAGCTGCGCGCGAGCCCGACGAAGAAGATTAGAGAGATGCTCTCTCACCAAATCGGCCTACAACCTGGACAACTGCTCAAGATGATCAAGCCGTGTTTTGGTGACCCGCGGTCGCCCAGGCTTTGGCGCTACCGCTCCGACGAAGTCGCAGAGGTGATCGGGCTCAGGAACCACAAGCTCGAGGATTACCTGATGCTGTCCCTGCGCCCGGCGAGGGTGGTCGACGACGACCCGCTCGACGCGCGCAGCTTCGAGGGCCAAACCTACGCGGTGGATGGCCTGATCGGCAGGCACGTGGACGACTTCATCGGGCGCGGCAAGGGCGCGACGAACGAACAGGACCTCTACGCGAAGCTTGAGGGGCCCTCAAAGAGAAGTTCAACTTCGGCAAGTGGGAGCTCGGACCGAGTCTGATCTTCACTGGAGGCGACGTGGAGCAGTCCCTGAGCACCTAAAGCGCGACCCTCAAGTTCGAGAAGTACCTGCACGCGGTGAAACCCAACATCGTCGAGAAGCATCGGAGAGCTGACCCCTTGAGTGTGCTGTCGCCGAAGGAGCCGACGAACTTCAGGACCCTGACTGGACAGCTGCAGTGGCGGGCAGCCCAAGGATTGATCATAGCAGCGGCTACCGTGTCCTTCTGAGCTTCGGCGACAGGTCGAACACCGTGCAAGGACCTCTTGGATGCGAACAATGCCAACGCGGACGTAGGGCTGTACTTCGGGTTCGACAAGGCCTGGAGCAACCTGCGAGTTGGCAACTACACCGACGCTAGCTGGGCGAGCCGACATGACTGCAATTTGCAAGGAAGCTACGCGATCTCCATCGGACCCGCGGACGAGCTCAACGCCGGCACCCCCGCACCTGTTGTGGCCATGGAACGGGGCTCGCTGTCGGCGGAGGCCCAGGCAGCAGCCTTGGGCGCAGAGTCGCTGATGTTGGTGAAGGTCTATCTGGCGTGGAGCTTACGACCCGACCTGGAGCTCGAAGAAGTGATGACGTACCTGGGAGAGTCGCCGTTCATCACGGACGCGAAGTGTCTCTACGACGCGTCGCGCTCAGCGACGGCAGGCCTGGGCATCACGGAGAAGAGGACGGCAATCGAGGTGAAGATCGTGAACTAGCAAATGGCGGAGACAGGCGCCACCTAGAAGTGGGTGAACACGCACCAGCAGATGGCGGACGGACTTACCAAGCTCTCGTCCCGCCAGATGATGGCAGACGTGCTACGCCGTAGAGTGCATGCGTTGCGCTACGACCCCGACTTCGTAGCCGGCAAGAAGCTCTCCAAGAGGGCCATGGAGCAACGCGAGAAGGGGCTGGATGAGGCTGGTGAGGCGCTGCACGACACCCTCGAGACACCGCCTGTGACGAAGGCGAAGGAGAAAACGAAGGTCAAGGGCAAGCGCCATTTTGGCGCGACTGGAGCGAAGCTCGCTGCGGCATTGGCAGCTAGCGCTGGCAGCAGTGCGGCAGGTCAGGTGGTACAGTACACGCCCAGCGGCGTCGAGCTGTTCAGCCCACCGACGCTGGCCGACTTGTGGTGCCATTATACTGCGGGTTCCGTGTTGGAATATGGTGGACACACTTGACCAAGTAGCTCGAGCACGACATGAAGATCGAGAAGACGCGCGAGCCCGAGACAGAGCCGGTGCCCATCAGAGTCACGACGACTGCGACCGGGACCGACCCGAAGCCGACGAAGCAGAAGAAGATGCGCAGCGTGCTCGTCCAGTCGCAGTGTCGCTACAACCTGGATCTCAGCACGCCGAGGTTCCAGCCGTTGCCCGAGTACGTTCATGGAGCTTTCGTAACAGGATGAAGGGGTACCCAGAGGCCGTTTTAGCATGAGGCCAGTTTAGCATGATGGTCGGCAAAGCCGACGTGAGAGACTCCGTCGGCGGAAGCCGACTCGTACGTGAGTGCTCCGAGGAACACACCTTGTGCGTGTATCTGCACGGCGAAATAGACCGATCGCTGGGCGTGCTGACAAATTAACGTCGCTGTCGCGACCGCCGGTGAGTTTCACATTCGAATCAGACTGCCTTGTGCCGGGAACCCGCGGTGTTGGCATAATTGTATCTGTTTTAGTTTCGGTCCTGTTCCCGTTTCGAGTTTCCTGGTAAAATTCTGGGGGGCCCTGATCTTGGCAATGTGCGTTGTTGAGCGAATATGTGAAAAACAACTATTTGTTCCGCCCGTGTCAATATAACCCCCGTTATACCGAGTTATGTGTACGTAGTCTTGTGTATTATCACAGCTCAGCAGGTTCAGCATAGCATGATGTGTTATAAGCAGTTGTTTCACATATGTCTGTACCATTACCATTTGATGTTCAGGGGCCCCTGAGTCAGGTAAAGGTTGCGTATCTCACGAGCTGATACGATGATCAAGATCATCTGTGATATCGAACACATCCCGAGGAGACTTCGTGTGCTGCCATCGGTTGATATGATTTTCGCACCCATGTCGATCGCCTCGATCTGGGTCCAGGGCGAGTCGTGGCCACAACACCAGGGCGAGACGGCCAACGCCCCCGAGGCAGGCGAAGCCCGTCGCCACCGTTCCTCCGGATCCGCCTCCAGGTCGAGCGTCAGCAACCGCCGGGCACGCCTCGCCCGCACGGGTCCCCGGGGCCCAGAGCTGAGGGGAAGAGACGGCATGCGCTCAAACGCACAGGGAGGAAGAACGGGGAAGGACAAAGGGCTGAAGACGCTACATGTGACTACCTACCAGACCACCCCAACCCAACCCGAAGACCCGAATTTCGGGTTGGGGGGGGGGGTACGGGTTCCATATGTGTTTTCTCGATGTTCCCCGACCCTCCCCCCACTGGAAATGGAGGGCAAATCGAGACCTTCGGGTTGGGTTGGGGTGGTTTGGTGGGTGGTGATGTACAATGCGGACGCGGCCGCACGAAACCCTCGCAAGAGATCCGGCCCTGAAAACCCGCGCGCCAGGTGCGACTCGGGGGAGTCCGAAGGTACCCTGGAAGCAAAAGGTTACTTAACGGACGCGGGAGGTCACCGCGCAGCGCGGGAGGCGAAGAAACCCAGGGTACCCTGACGAGAAGCATCTGGTTCCTCGATACGCGACCCCACTGTGTGGGTGCGGGCTGTCAGAACCCGACAAGGATTCCCGCACGGGCGGGGGCCCCCCTCCGACAACACACACACACACACACACACACACACACACCCATGGCCCCCCACAGAGTTCCACCTCGGAAAACCTGGGAATCGCACAGGTATGGGGGGTAGTTGTCAGCCCATGATAATCGCACACAAGGATCCCTCGTCCTTGACACCTTGCCCGCGACCTTCTGCACCTCCTCAAAGGCGCATGTGGAATGGAATACACCGACCCGGTCGGCGTGAGTGAAACGTTTTTCCATTCAAATCGTCGTCGTAATCCCCATCGACAGCACGTTGTCCAGGGCCCAGACTGGCAAACCTGCTTCGAGCGCGCTTGGATTGAACAAGTGTTATAAGAATTAGCCTGGCGAAAGACCCAATCATGTGCACTTGTGGGTGCCACAATTGTGAATATCGTCGTCGGTGGAGCTCCCTATGGGGCAACGAACCGTGTGCGACAAAATGACGGTAGAACTGCATGCGAATCCTGCCACTGGGGCCTGCGGTCGAGCTGCCTATAGGCCGCGAATCGTGTGAGGGGTGCGCCGAGATGAGGGTGGAACTGCATGCGAACTCTGCCACTGAAACATTCGGTGAGAGGGGCACCGAAATGGGGGCGGAACTGCATGCGAACCCTGCCGCTGGGGCCTTCGGTGGAACTCCCTATGGGGCCACAAACCGTGTCAGGGGTGCGCCGAGATGAGGGTGGTACTGCATGCGAACCCTGCCTCTGGGGCCTTCGGTGGAGCTCCCTGTGGGGCCACGAACCATGTGAGGGGTGCGCCGAGACGAAGATGGAACTGTATGCGAACCCTGCCACTGAAACATTCGGTAGAACTCCCTATGGGGCCACGAACCGTGTGAGTGGTGCGCCGAAATGAAGGTGGAACTGCATGCGAACCCTGCCACCGAAACATTCGGTAGAACTCCGCATGGGGCCACGAACCGTGTGAGGGGTGCGCCGAGATGAGAGTGGAAACGCATGCGAACCCTGCCAATGTGGCCTTCGGTGGAGCTCCCTATGGGGCCGCGAATCGTGTCAGGGGTGCGCCGAGATGAGGGTGGAACTGCATGCGAACTCTGCCGCTGGGGCCTTCGGTGGAGCTCCCCACGGAGCCACGAACAGTGTGAGGGGTGCGCCGAAACGAAAATGGAACTGCATGCGAACCCTGCCACTGGGGCCTTCGATGGAACTCCCTGTGTGGCCACGAACCGTGTGGGGGGGCTCTGAAATGAGGGTGGAACTGCATGCGAACCCTGTCACTGAAGCATTCGGTGGAGCTCTTTATGGGGCCATGAACCGTGTGAAGGGTGCGCCGAGACGAGGGTGGAACTGCATGCGAACCACCGTGTGAAGGGTGCGCCGAAATAAGGGTGGAACTGCATGCGAACCCTGCCGCTGGGGCCGTCGGTGGAGCTCCCCACGGAGCCACGAACAGTGTGAGGGGTGCGCCGAAATGAGGGCGGAACTGCATGCGAACCCTGCCAATGGGGCCTTCGGTGGAGCCCTCTGTGGGACCCCGAACCGTGTGAAGGCGTGCAAGAATGGGCGGGGAACGATGATGATGATGGTGATGATGACGGCCGTAATGGTGATGACGATGGTGATGACGATGGCAGGGACGAGCTTGAGGATGATAATGAAGATGAGGATGATGATGATGATGATGATGATGATGATGATGTGATGGCGATGATGAGATGATGATGATGATGATGATGATAATGATGATGATGATATGATGATGATGATGATACTGATAATGTTGATGATGATGATGAGGATGAAGATGTTGATGATGACGATGATGATGGTGGTGGTGATGATGATGATGATGCTGTGAAGAAGAAATATGATCGACCCACGAACCCGGAACGGAATATAGACATGTAAGGCATGGCAACGTTTCAAAGACACCTGATTGGGCGACGGGCAAACGCAATGCTGAGTGTATCGATCTTGATGTACCGTGCCGAGGGCTGTGATGTGCTGCGCTGTGCTGAATCGCGATGTGCCATGCCACGATTGTGCTCGATAGCGTTGTGGATCGAGTCCTCATTTGCATCCGAGTCCTGACCGAACTGATCTGGATCTTAAGCTCGAGCTGTCTCACCACATAGTAGCTGCCCCAGAGCTAATTGACAGGGGAACATGCCAGGAGGACGCGCCGCGGAACGTCCCAAGGGACGCGCCAGGCGATGTGCCAAGGGACGTGCCACGGGGACGCACCGCGGGACGTGCCGAGGGGACGCGCTACGGAATCTATAGGATCACACGTAATCATGGAGAGGGCCAACCTATGGGACTATATATATATGTGTAAAACACACATGTTCGCGCCCGAGGGCCAAGCTATAGGTAATGAGAGGGCCCACGCATAAGAATAGACGTAAAAACGCACGGATTCGTGCCCCTGGAGAGACCCAATATATAAGTAATGTGAGGCCCATTTACAGGAATATACGTACAAACGCACGGATTCGTGCCCCTGGAAAGGGCCAGTCGACGGGAACACACGTAGTCCTGGAGAGGGCCAATCTATCGGAATATTTTTAAAAATGCACGAATTCGTGCCCCTGGAGAATGCCAATCTATAGGTAATGAGAGGGCCATCTATAGGAACATGCGTAAAAAAACATACGCATGCGTGCCCCTGGATGGGGCCAACCTATGGGAACACACGTATTCCTGGAGAGGGCAAATCTGTAGGAACAGACGTAAAAACACACGTATTCGTGCCCCTGGAAAGAGCCAATCTACAGGTAACGAGAGGGTCACTATAGGAACATATGTAAAAAAAAACACAAATACGTACCCCTGGATGGGCCAATCTATAGGCATTACGTAATCCATGCCCCTGACCAAAACGTGTCCCGCACCCTGTGATTTATCGATCGCGATGTCAATAACCAGCGTTTCGCTAGGGACATCCTCAATTTTAAAATCGCCGGCCCACCTCGACCTCGACATTTATCGCAAAAGAAGTTCGCCAGCCCACCTCAAGTCAAACCCGGAGGTAAGCCAACTAAAAGAAAACCCTGGGCGTATGCCCTTTCCGGGAAAAAAGGGAGGGGGCAGCGGGAGAAGTGACGCGGGGCGCTGTCTCTTCAAAGCGAAGACACAGACCCACAGGAACGTTGGGGAAAAACTTCAAGACGTACCCTACCCTTTCTTCCAACATATGGCCACCCACTGCAAACAAACATGTTGAAGGACCCGCAATGCGCATGCGTTGCGTAAGAAAACATACAAAAACAGGCGATGTACGGACAAGGACACAAGCATACAAAGGTGTGCAAAGAGGGGCATACATGTTCACTACTAACAATAGCGCCAGGCGCTACAGACGCGGAAAAAAAAACAGCGCCACGCGCTCGCTCTATAGCAGACCAGAGCGTCACGCTGAACGAGGCAAGCGCGCGGGGTGTCATGGCGGGCCAAAGGCGCCTGAGGGCGGGAGGCCACGCGGACAAAAAACAGCGCCACGCGTTGCGTGGCGCAGCGGCTCCCTACGAGCTGCGATGCGACAGCGCCGACCGCTGCGTGACGGGACAGCGCCGCGCAATGTGGGAACCCCCTAGCCCCTGCAATGTTGGATGCGAGTATTTGTAGTCAGTTAGATTTCTCGTCGCGGCCTCCCAACAACCCACGAAAACACCGACAATTGCACACTCCGCGGCCCCCCAGGGAGCAACGAAGTCCCAACTGGATCCCCATGCAATTCCACTCCGCGCGACCTCCAAGGAACCCACGAAAATGACGACAATTGCACACTTCGCGGCCCCCCGAGAAGCCTCGAGGCCCCAAGTGCGTCTGCGTGCCACGTCACTCCGCGCGACCTCCCAGGAGCGCACGACAACGGCGCAAACTGAGCACTTCGCAGCCTCCAGGAAGCCGCGAGGTCCCAACTGGACCCCCGTACAACTACACTCCGCGCGACCTCACAGGAGCCCGCGAAAGTGGCGACACTCGCACTCTTCGCGGCCGCCCAGAGAGCCGCGAGGCCTTAACTGGGTCTGCGCACCACTCCACTCCGCGCGATATCCCAAGAGCCCACGAAAGCGTCGACAGTTGTGCACTTCGCGGCCCCCCGGGGAGCCGCGAGATCCCAACCCCGCGCAAATCCACTCCGCGCGACGTCCTCGGGCTTGGCCGAGCATCTCCGCGCCGCCCGGGCTTGGCGATTCCCAGCGCGATCCATCCAGTCCTGGTGATGGCGGCCTCCTGCAATCCCTCGGCGCCAATGTAATTCCTCGCGTTCGGTGCGGCCCTGCACGGAGCACAATTTCAGCGTGCTCTTGCCGGAGCGCGCGGCGCCGCTTTGCTCGGATATATGTGCATTTCTCGCAGCCGATCTGCACGTCCATCACAGCAGCGTCCACAATGGGCGCTGAGTCCTTGCTGGCACTCCACATGTCTCTGGCGGCCTAGGCAGGCCGCGCCGTCGCCTGCTTCCCCTGCCGGCTCCGACTCGGACG